GGGTTTTGAAAGGTTGCACGTACTGGGGGTGCCAATGGCAGCATTCACACCGAGTTTCATTAACATTGAAATAGGAACTCACCCCGAGCTAGGACCAGGAACATTCAATTTGAACAAAATCTCAATTTTGACAATTTTCGGGTATAGGGTCCCAGGGGGTCTAGAAAACGTGCCGGTGCACGGGTTTTTAAAGCTAACAAATGTCTGCTTTTATAACAAAATTTTTTAATTTTTTAAGTATCATGTACTGAAAACGTGACTGCATCGTCATAGTTAGATTCACCTGATATGTTGTAAATCCCTTAACCATCGAAGCATATAGATGTTATTCAGATTCCTTGCAAACTACAGCCATAACAACCACATTAAGAAGAACATATTTGACAATTATCATATCAGATCTTATTCTCGTCACTTAAAGTTAAAACATGCTATTGATGCGACAATTACCATATTAGATCAAATTTTCGTTCTATTGATGCAACAGAGTGTATTGTTATGCATGATAAATTTGAGAATATGAAAGACTGTTTACTTTCAAAGCCTCCATATATATTTAAGTTTATGTGATATATATGTCTCTGGTTTGAATGATTACACAAACAGGTATACTAATATGACAAAATATTTGAATGTGTATGAACAAGAGTTACATAATGTACGCGTCAGGTGATTTGGTACTTAGTCGCCCGACGAGCGACACATTTTAATCCCTGTCTTGCTTTATTGTCCTAAAATTAGTTTATTATTATTATAGTGTCACATGTAAAAGGTACAAATATTACAATCTCTAAAATATGTCTACTCACCCACCCTTACATTCAGTCTATATTAGACTTACGAGACACTCACTCTCCCCTATCATTCTAGACTGTAAAAGTATTACATATATGCACATACTTATGAAAAAAAAAAAAAAATGCCAATATAAAACTATAAAAATAATTGACATTAAAAGACACATTACTGCTTAATTATATATCAAGTTGCGACGACGATTAAGAATATTAACACAGGTTTTGGCACAGGACCTCGCCAAGTAAGGGTTGCTTAAAATTACAACTAACTTTTCATCTTGACTCATATTGTAAAAATGACTTGTGATTTTACTAGCCTCCTGCAATAGACCCGATCGGAGATCATTTTATAAGTTACATTCTATTAAAACATTGACTCTCTGTTTCTACCATGCTTTTACACGCGAAACACTTTCTTTCACTCAAAAGTATTCTCTCATACCGGCCTGTTTCGATGCGTATCGGTGCAACCCCATACCTAAACTTAGCTAGCGCACTACGATGTGATTTAGGCATTACTAACATATTATAATTTTCTACCTCATAATTAAACTTAAATAACCTGTACATACGTAGTTTGTTATCTCCAGAAATACAATTTTTGGCTCCGGGACGGTTTAGTTCCCTTTTCCAATTTTCAATAAACAGTTCCAAGTCACGAACCTTAGCGTCCTTAAAGGTCACCGGAAAATAGTTTTCAACGTTGATTTTTCATTCTGAATCGATGTATTGCTGTAAAAAAAATGGTATTTACGCAATACTGACTGTTCGGAATTCAACAGGTAAGTTGTTATTTACCTGTAATCTTCCCGTCAAATGAGTTACTTCCCTTGCCCCCATGCTGTTGCGTGATTGGTCAATTGCGAATGACGTCACATTAGGTCAGGGTAGTTGGAGGAAGCCAAGCAAAGCTATAAAAATAGTGACTACTCAGTACTATCGGTCGAATTTTGAAAGAATTGGTTTTGTTTGACAATGGAGATTGACCCTAGTGAGAATGACGTCGAGTTTACGGTTGCTCCCTATCAGTTTGAGCCAATTTTGGTGGCAACTGACGCAGAAAGCGAGGACATAACAACAAGCGAAGAGGAAAGTGAAAGTGACAGCGCCGCCGGTAACGAGGCCCATGTTCGACAAGTTGATCAATGGTAATATTTTAATCGCACTTCTAAATTACTGAATATATGTAAGCGAATTATTGCTTCGATAACTGGTTCATATCTTTGCAGAGCGACTATGTGGTGGGGACGAAACCTAGCATTATTTTTCACTTCAACTTTGTAAATGTATTTTAGCGGTCGAAGTTTAAACGTGTTAAAAACGTGTTAATTTTTCGTCATTGCTACGAAACATTTCTTTTATTTTTTAGTGTTACATAACAATTAGTTCGCAGAGCTTTTCAGATACTTTATGCATGTATTCTGTTAAATCGGTTCTTGATTGCTATGGTCAGTATGGACCTGTTTTATAACCTAAAATATATGAGAGACAAATATCATAATTTATATCCACTCCTGCACAACAATAAGCAGTCTGTTTGCATCAGAAATGTTGCCCCCTCCCCCCTCATTCAAGACATGATAGGATGTAAAATAACCGCTTTTTTTAATGAAATTAGCAAAACCCATGTCTTCTTTTACTGAGGACAATAATGCACGATTTTAGCTAAGGAAAGCAGACGTACTGGGCTTTAAACCCAGGAGATAAGGGGATATAAATTGTGTATTATTGCTTTCCCCGATAAATTTTTACGGATGTTTCTGTCAGAATCAAAAACACACAAAACAATCACTGTCATGACTTGTATGAATTACAAGTCTGGTCTTTTTTTCAACAGTTCTGGCTATAATAGACACATTGTCTGGCATTTCTGATTTCTTACACTGACAAAATCAAACCCAAACATTTTTTTTTAAAATTTGGATGTGCAATTTATTGTTACACATCAATGTAAATAATTTTCAGTGAATATAAATAAATAACAAAGTATAATCTAATTACAGGTGTGACTGTGGCCACTGTGAACAAATGCCAACTGACTTGGAATGTAGATGTTGCTGCAGTTTCAATCTGTGTCAGTATAAGATGGAACAGGACAACATAAAGTGCATCACAGAACATGAAGGATTCCAGGTGAATTGCCTCAACAGACATGTTCTGGAACTTTCATTTTATGAATACCTTGATAACTATGGACCAATAGGAGATGAGGAGCCAGGTCATGAGTAAGAATTTGTTTTTTAAGCACCGTTACTTTGTTATCATACTATGCAAAATTAACTGTATAACAAAACTGAATCTCAATCTAAACTTGACAAATATTAATAGCAATGCTTTTACATTTATATCATCAATGCTATGGAGTTGGCTTGTTGGATACAATCATCTTTAGCTCCTTGTGCACTTTAGAGCCTGTGAAAGAACATAAATATCATAATTAGGAAACTTATATCAATACTATTTTTAATTAAAAAACACTTTAGCTGACAGCATCATAGCATTGATCAACTGGACATAGAAATAAAAGAGCCTGACATATTTTGGTAATTAAAACTGCTAAATAAATAGACCATGATGAAATTCAGTTTACTTCCTACATGAATTCTGGTTAATTCTGAAACAATTAAAAACAATCCTTACCTGGCAGAATCCAGTTTCTTGACTTGTCCAGCGCTGCATGCTGACATGCTGGGAAACGGTCTCCATGGCCTTCATGTTTATCACAGACATGGTTTGAGATGGATTCCCATTTTTGCTCCACCAGCTCACCATCCCCATCACTTGTCGAAGCGGCCCAGTACAAATGGTTAGAAATGGAATGGGCCCAGTCTCCAATCTGCTCGCACCCTTTCTTTTTTGCCAAAGAAACGAGTTTCTTGTAGATGCCTGAAATGAGTCCACAATATATCAATGCACATACAGAACCATCACTAACCATAT